AGCTAGATGCCCGTTGAAAGCACATTGCACTTGCCAATAAACAATTCGAAATGAAGTAACGCATTGGGCAAAAATGTCGAGTTAAAATACCATTCTGCTGTCGCGCGCTGCGGACGTACGCAATAATCAAGGTGAGATTTAATCCTCGGCTAAACAGGGGCTCGTTCGAGCTAATCTTGGATTTTCGCATGAATAATTGGAGAACAGTTACACGTCCAAAGTGACAAAGATCCAACTACATCTAGCTGTACACACGGGGCATTGCGATGCCGCATGGGATTTGGCCTTGTTCGCCGTTGGCTCGAGCGTTAATTTTCAGCATCTCTTGCTCCAAGAAACAGCATAACCGATAACATCGCTTTGTGTACTTTCTGCCCTCGTCGGATAAATACGGAGAAAAGATTTTGACGGAGGTGCGTGTACTGTGCATGCACCCGCTGATGGAGTTATCTAAGAGTTTTCGACTTTTTTCCGCGCTCTTCTTGCGATATTTTTTTCTGTCGAGATAAAATTCCTTGCCCTTTTCATGCTCTTTTGCCCGAGCACCAGATCGCAATCAAGAGCAAAGAGTCGTAAAGCAACTTTTGATGTATTTTTTTTACTTTACAATTTTTCTTGGTGAAAAAAGGTGTGCAATCGACATCAAAGTTTATAAGTCTGACGTTACTATAGAAGCTTTTTTCATTTATTCATTGTTTTAAAAGCTATCGAGCTTTACGATGAAAATAATAAAATTCTGTTATAAAGATCAAGTGTCAATTCAAGGAAACAACAAATTTGGATCCACCGCGATCGTACTGCAATCGAAAAAGATGCGTACGTTCCAAAAGAGGACAATTACAGAGGCATGATTTCCGCGGGCAATTACAGCTGCGTAAGATTATTACTCTTAGCGCTGTTACTGTAATCACTGTGCTATGCTTTTAGCATGGCTATTTGAGCCAAATGCGAGCATACAACAAAACTGTAAAAATAGAAGCGTCGATAGCCCATCGCTTGCTTATTTTCTCCTTGTTCGTTCTAATTGCATTTTATGTTAGCTAAACGTTACGCGTCAATTTCAACTTCAACGATTTCTCATTCGTGGCAACAACTTTATTATTAATAAAAGTCATATCACTGGAAAAGTGTTATTTCATTTTTGAAACAGTATTTCAAATGCATACTTTCTAAATTGCAAGCGCAGGCAAAAACAAGTTTTGACACTCTTTTTGGCTACAAGTAACATAGTATACATTTGTTGATGATGTGCTTGGAGCATTCATTTTCATTACGAAATAATTTCTTTACATGTATTTTTAAAATATTTAAATATCTATAAAAAACTTTTGCCATAATATCTATTTACAATTAATTGGTGCAATTCTTACTAACGACTTCACACAAATGTGTAAACGGTGCAATCGAAAATTTTTCAGTAATTTGAATTTATCACTTTTCATAAAATTTAATGATAACATTACAAGTTTCCACAGAGGTGGAAATTTTATTTAGTCTTTACATGTCAAAAAGCTTGCACAGTGTTGGCCCATATTTAATTTTACAATTTTTGCCACCAGCCCGTAATTATACTAAAAATTTTACGGCTATTACCGATAAACAAAATGTATAATTAAACGATCACATTTGCAATCGGTATACTCTTTCTGATCAAAAATTAATTTTTTTTCAACAGATATCATTGAAGATATTCTATAAATGAATGTTTTTTTCAATCATATGCTTTTAGGTATCCTTTCTAAGATGTATATTTACTTTGAACCTAACAAGCGCTAATTGATGTTTTGTTTAGTCTGCGACTTATAATCATCGGCATAAACGAGAATAATTTGCTCTACAATAACACATTTATAGTTTATTTAACTTTTGCTTCAATAAAAGTTTGTGCATTCATTTACTTGTTTTTATGATCGTATTTAATTGATAAAATTAATGAATTTTACATATTTTGACGACATAAAAAGATTATAATAAATGCGTAAATTATTTAACACTTAATTCATAGTCTTATTGAAAACATTACACAATCGAGCGTAAAAAATCATCTAAGGATGGCAGCTATAAGCAATCCATTATGAACTATTAGTTTTTCACTGTGTGTGTTTATAACAAGATTAAATTAAGAGTTTTTTAGCATAAATTTTATTTGTAATCATAGCAGCTTTTTCCAGTTCATATTTTTACAGACTTAGTTAAAAAATCTCTTGATTGAAATATTTTTATACTTGCAATAATTTTCAAATTAAAAAACAGCAAGGCAATTTCTGAACATAATTTCGATGAATGTTTTTGACTTACTAATCATGATAAACCAAATCCTTATCATGCATGAGCTGACATAAAGTTGAAACTATTTGCTTTTGATTTAATTGAGCGGTAAGCAGATGTAGATATGCAAGCCTTGGTACGTTGCGTAAAGAACTTCAAAGTACCTGGTATCTACTGCCGACTTAGCTGCATAATGCAAGAATTGGTCGATTTAGATAAATGACTAATACAATGGTAGATACGTTTTTTAACGTATGATTTACATAAACTATGTTTATATAAATGTTTTAAATCAATTTTATCAGGAACCAATCGTTGTTCCATATATAGTTGAAAAATAATCGTTGAACACAGATTCTTCTCAATTTTAAATAATATAAAGTGAAAATACAAATAAAGTAATGTTAAGTTTGTCGATGAAAAACTTGAAATAAATAGTATATGAGAGATAATAAAGTAAGATAGTATGGGTGTTTAGTAAGATTGGCAGTGTTTCAGAACACGATCAAGCTCAGACAACACAAAAAATACAAAAATCGCGATTTATCAAAGTATAAAATGACACAAGTCAAAAAGCCGGTGGATGATCAATTCGTGCGATTCGTGTAAATAATGTATCAAGCTGAAATGACTAGGCTCGATGCTTGAGCCGAGACATCATAGCTGCACGTTCTACTGCAGTCCGTTACAAGATGCATCCCATCACCTGCTCTCCCGATCGAGACTCGCGTAGCCGAAGGGGCCCCACTGTACAAGTTCAATACAAAACAAGAGTGTGTATGTATGTATAGAGATTCACTCGCGCGGGTGGTACGTGTTCGCAGGAAAAAAAAACGAATTCAAACGGAGCTGGGGTTCTTTCATTATATCATCGCGTGCGCGTCTCCTCGCACTCGTGGCAGCTCGGCGCTGCTCAGGTTGGATTTATCGCTCGCCAATTACTTTTTCACCTTTTGCCTGATTCTCTCGAAGCTTTTACTCATACGCTAATGAAGAAGTTTCGATTCCTACACGTATAAGCAATCGAGGTAGCTTAGAACTCAGGCACTTACACCTTTACAGCTTGGATTAACCGGACTGTTTGGCTCTATACGTATACACACACCGATCCATTAAACCTAGCGGATTTATCAGTAAAGATATGGAGTAAATATCATAATGATACAGCTCGAGAATAGGACAGCGTTTTAGCGATGGAAGAAATTTTGCGCATAACGCGATAAAGCCCAGCTTAAGCTGACCACATTTTTCTTCTTGTCCCGTTCTAACACAAGTGCCACGAATGAATACGAAAGAGGTGTGTAAGCGGCTCTTTTATTTGGTTCCATTTGTAACATTGTGACTGGCGAGTACATAATTCTGCAGAATTATTATACATTATAAGCTGACTATCCCAAATTATATAGATATGTTTTTTATCCTTCTTTCGTATCAGTGGTTTTAAAGCTAAGTAATTTTGTAAAAGGTCTAATCACATTGTTACAACATCCAGACATGCACGTGTACGTCAATGCATACGTGTGTATTATAGATTCCATATCTTCTTATTATAAGCGAAACACTTGCTACTTTGAGAGATGATGACGACCATCATGGCAAGTCTTATCGAGGTAAATGGCTGTACTTTGTTTTGCGTTATTAAGCAACGCGAATAATTTATTTAACCTTTTTTTAGAACGTGATGCGAAGCGTACATTTTCTAAATAAAAATGGTTGGCTTTATCCGATGAATAATGCACTTATTTTATTATTATAATTTTGTACTTTTTAAAATTGAAATGAGTTACACACGGTGATTGAAATCTTGAAGAGAATAATGATGAGATTATGAGTTATAAAAGAAAGGGTCGATAAATAATAACGATTGTGCGCTATTAAAAGAATTGGTTGATATGATGTATCGGTAAAATAGTTTTCAACGCAGGTCAAAGTTTGAATGAAAAAAAAGGGTGACGGACGATTCAGGCGATTTTTGTGCAGGCGCGCAATTATTATGGGCTATCAAGGCGCGGAAGAGACAGACGTCAAGGAAAAGAAAGGTCGAGAGACCACCTAAGCGCAGAAGAGCGACGCGAGCCAGTAGAAGCATGACCGATACGTAAGCGAGATACATCTCTCACGGAGGACCCGCGTGCTTCGCTGCATTATATATTATATAGCATTAGATCCTGGAGCAGCAGCGGGCCCACGCGCGTCTCACGCGTTCCTCCGTTCGTGGCCTTGAGCTATTCTGCGCCGCGCTCCAGCTGCTGCAGTAACGCGTTCTTTACCAAGCTATATTGATATGCGCATGGATTGTTCGACTTTTAGCCCCGCAACTCATCGTGGTTCGCTCTATCTTTCGATTCATTCGCTTAACTCACTTGTACATTACACCAGCAACAAGTAATTCCAACCCCGAGTTAATTTTTCAAGCATATTCTTCATTCCTAGCGCGGATGATAACTTCCTATTTTAGACAGAATCCTTGCTTCTCTCGCTACGATTATATGTATGTATGCTCTTTGAAACTACATTGATATTTATAGACGCGCATTCGAACCTCAATAGGACGAGTCTATTTGTAAACTATGGAGTACAAAAACTAAATGAGAGCCCGATAACGTAACTACTCGTTCGAGCATGCTCTATTTATTGTTGTGATGTGTGAAGAATGCTAAGAAAGGAATGAACGGAGCTCTAATCAAAGTCAAGCGTAAACACATTTTAGTTTGATCTATGAACTAGCGCACTTCATTTCAGATCGTGAACAACGTGATATTGCTAGCAAATTATTACTTCATTCATAAATATTATCATTAGTTATACTTCTGCATGCTATATTCCAAATATTTTTTAATCTTTTACATTGAAGTTATTTGGTTTAAGGATAAAATGGATAGTAATAAAATTAACACTAGCATCAAAATGGAATGCGAGAGTGATGAACAAATGGATCAAGTTTCAATCAAGGTGATAAATTAAAAAATTATTATTGTCATAAAAGAATATAGTTAATGGTTTGTATTAAACATAATGCAAATCAAATTTTATCATGTTACAACGTAACACAAGGCTGATGAAAATTTTAGAATCAAATGAACCGATTTTGTCACTCATGCACTAAATTAATTTTCAGTTGGAGGAAGAAAACAATTTTGGTCAACTTGACGTAGCATCGGATCAACCACTGGATTTAACCACAGCTCGTAAAAATTACGATGCAGAGATTGTGGCTATGAAAGAACCAATGAACAAAACATCTGACTGCAAAAAAATTACTCAATTCAGGGCAAACGGTGAAAACAGTACATTTTTCGGAAATGTAATAATACCAAAAGTCTTTTCTTTTCCCGAAAAATGTAACGTCGTGAACAAGCTTGTACCAGATGATTTGTCTATTGGGTCGTCGGGACTATCCCAAATAAGCTGGAATGGTCCCGCCAGCGTTAATTCTACATACTCGGATATGTCGGAAGACGAAGAAAAATCAGTTACAATAACCATGAATGAATCTTTGAATGATTCTTTCGGTGTTAACACGCAAGATTCGTTAGATTTGAATGACTCGAAATCTCGAATCGCTGTGCGGTTTTTATTAAAAAAGTCCAAGCGTTTCTACAGTTTTTGCGGTGCTGTACGCTTTTACCTTAGCAAATCTGCAGAAACAAATACGAATAAAATTAAAAAAATCGTGTCAAATTTAAAAGGTCTGAAGGAGACTGTCAAGAAAACGATTGTCAGTGCCACGCCAAAATCAATCAGTCAAATAACTAGTTCTATCTTTAGCTCCATAAAAGGACATCGGATTCCCGAGTGCTTACAATTTTTTGGTCTTTCCTTTTCGTCAATGTCCAAATGTAGCAGACTCAAGTACATCGAAAATGTGTCAAGTTTGCCATTACAATCGAAATCTCTCAAAGGGATTGAAAAGGACAAAGAGACGTACGTTATACCTACGGGAATGGCCGATAATCACAAGGAAAAATTCCAATTTCTCAAACCGAAAGTTTACGAGTGCGGTGTTTGCGATACCCGCTTTTACAAATTACCGATTTATTTAAGACACATAAGACGCCATGTAGTTATAAATAGATGCAACAGTTGTAACAAAGCCTTTTCTTCTGTAATTAACAAAAGACGCCATCAGCTCCAATGTCGCAGTCGAGTAAAACCTTAAAAACTTGACATGTTCAAGCCATAATCGATTCGTTCGATCGCGTCGTATTACAATTGGTTGCAAAAATCAATAAACCTTGGTCGTGGGATTGTTTGGTCTAAACGGATTTTTCAGGCCCAAATTCGTCGTATAATGCTAAATTTAATTTACTTTGATTACGTTTTTTAGCCCATTAATCATGAACATTGATTTTAGTTTAAATATTTAGAGCCTATGTATTGGTAGAAAAATAAGTTTAAATTTTATAGATGGGAGCCATACAAGAATTATCTTATGACTAGATTATAAATCTTGGTATAATTGTTGATTTTTGAAGTTGTAAATAAATTATTATTCAAATTTGAGGTTGATTTCTTAATCGAAATGAGCTCGTTTACATCAAAATTAATTATTGTTCATTTTGCTTGCATTTCGACGAGCGTTTGCTTTGCATCCTGAATCACGATATCGAGTGTCTGTTGTTTTTATAAAATATTGTAATTTTTTTATGTTAATCATTTCATCACGTTCAAGGTGAAACAAATTGTATTATAATTTTCATATTTCTAAAACATCCTATGTAGAATAGAGGAATAAAAAAAAGTGAAATTTCAGTGAGATCAGTTATTTTTTGAAAAATGTCCGTATAGTTAAGAAGATAACGTTTTTGAAAAATGATTGATTGGAAGCCATGATAATGGGGCAGCAAAAAGCCAACGGCAACTCACCTGTACAACCATCGAAAGATAATCCAAAATGATCCACCTCGCAGCGATCGCATTTGGGGCCCGACGTGCCTGGATTGCAAGCGCACAGTCCAGTTCGACGATCGCATTGTCCATCGATGGCTCCAATTCCACAGTCGCATTCAACGCATCCAGCCGTGACGTTCCCGTAGCCTTCGATGCATACCGAGCAGTCCCGACCATCGAACAGGCCCGTGCACGTGCACTGTCCAGTTTTTGGATCACACAGATGTGAAGAACTGCCAAGAGGATCACAGGCACACGCTGGAAAATTTAATTTCAAAAATTTCCTCATGGCCAAATCTTTGTAGCTTTTTAAAAGATAGTATAAGTTTGATTGTAAATATAAAAGTTATAACTATTGAGTTTGGTTCGATAGTTACACTTACAAGCAGACCACCCTGGTACCCAATCATGCAGCTCACTATGCTTATTTCGATTCCATGGGTCTTATAAGTCATTTTTATAAACAGTTAAATGTAATTGTAAACGTTAAGTAAGGAATAAACGATTAATTTGACTTCTCGCATCTAATTCACTCATAGAGCCATTTGCATATCATAATAATTATAAACATATGTTTCTTCGTCCTTCACATTATCCATAAATCATTTTAATGTGCACAGCATGATGCACTGTCAATAATTTAATTATAATGCGCCTTGACAATAATCTAACTTTTGCAACAAAATTATCGCAATAACCATTTCGATTGAAATTTTATTAAATTTTATTTTTTTTAAAATCGAGTTGCCAGACGCTCTTAAGCGTAACACCTAAGATGACAGAAAAAAATAGATTGTTCAAAATTATACCTGGACTACAGTCATTCGTGTATCCAAATCAAAGATATACCATCAAAAAGTACTCTTTTTAGAGAGTACTAAAAAAAGAGCTCTCCTCGATAGATTACTGTAAAAGCGGGTTAAAATTAAATTATTGATAATGCATCATGCTAAAAGACTCTACAAGTGAATTACATGTGAGAAGTCAAATTAATCGCTTAATCCTTATTTAACATTTAACTGTGTATAATAATGACTTACAGGACACATGGGATCAAAGTAAGAATACTGGGCTGCGTAATTAGGTACCATTAGGCATCTGAGGTGGTTTCTTTGTTAGTTATTTTGTTAATTTCCATACATTGATACATATGTTGAAGCAGAAAGTGGTTAAGTTTTTTATTTTCGCCAAGTTTCATCATTTTCATCGTCATTGAGCTACAAATCATTAATTTGTTGAATGAAAACTTTGGGTCGATTTAACAATAAAATGCTATATCAGTCATACGCCAAACGCGACTCATGAAATCGCCAGCGCGCAGGCAATATTACATCTAGCATGCAATTATGCGCCGAAAGAGCTCCAATTGAAATGTATAAGTAGTTATTTTTAATAATTACGTTACCGAGAACGGCTATTTTATACTTATCAACGTGTGCATTATGTGTGCGTGTGCGCAGTACTTACGTAAACAGTTGAGCTCGGATGGATTGCCGTAGTAAGCTTCCTTGCATTTATCGCATTTCCAGCCTTCGGTATTGCCTCGACATTCAAGACAACGGCCGGTTTCCTGGTCGCAAGGTGCCCCGTAACAAGGGCAAGGCTCGCAGCCTCGGCCAATGGTCAGTGGATTACCAAAGTATCCAAAATCACATCTGAAAATGCACATGTTTCTCAAATAGGACTCGGTTGACTGCGATGTAAATTTCTAGAGGGTAATACTCACGTCTCGCAATGGTCGCCGGTGTAGCCCGCGGGGCACTGGGTACACACGTAACCGCTATCTACGTCGTTGGGATTATCTACTTGGCAACTAGGACTGAAGTTATTGGACGCAACGTCCAAAGGACAAGCGCACTTCTTGCAGTCGTCGGGGGTTCCTCTGGTTGCATCGCCGTAATACCCTAGGGCGCAACGATCGCACTTGGCACCCACAGTGTTGTGCTCGCAAACCTGTCGAATTAAAGTAATCTTTGGAAATTCGTCCAATTCAATGATTTAAATATGAGAGCTTAAAAAGATGCAGTCCCCCATTAAACGATCGATAAGCAAGATGTCCTGTTTGGCAGTTGGTTCACGTAGTTTACCGGGCGATCTTTGAAATACTACTTTACCGATCGCCATTAACTCGTAAGATCTGATCGAATGTTGCTCAAGTGCCGATTGGCTTTTGCTCAACAATCTTTGTATCGTACTCACACTACATTCATCCATGACGAGATTGCAAGTAGCTGCATGCCCATTGCAGTCGCACTTGACACATTGATGTTTACTTTGATGGTCCGTAGAGTTTATTTGAACTTTTGCGTAGCCCCAGTCACAGGACTCGCAAGATAATCCAGTATAGCCAGCAGGACAGGTGCACATCTCAATGAAACTTGGTTTTCCACTGTCCATAGATACCTCGCCGATCGGCAATTGAACCGATTTCAAACTGTAACGAACGAGATATCGAGTACAGTGACATTGAATATAAAAATGGTTAAAAGTGTAAGATCGGCTATTCAAAGACTCTTGAGACTGATTAAAGCCGCTCTACGGTAAAATTGCCGTATAGGTAATCTAATTAAAATTTTTGCACGTATCAAGCGGGTAACGATCATTGAGCATTCGCGTGCACCAAGCGCGTAAATTCTCATTGGATAAAACGTTCCGAAAAATTCGCGGAATGCCTTGGCTGTAAGTGGCGGTACAGGTACTACTTATACGCAATCCAAAGCCCGGATCGACGGAACAACAATTTACAACGAACACGATGCGCAGGATGGACGCGCAATTTTGTCCTGGCCAATTAAGCGCGTGGTTGGGCCGTTTTCCGAAAGAACGAGAGAGAGAGAGAGAGAGAGAGAGAGAGAGAGGATTGATTATACGTACCTCGCTTCGATCTGCTCGGTGTGATATTGGGCTCGGATGAGTAGGTGCTCGACGTCGGACAGTACAGCCAGCATGTTTGCTCTCGTAACCGGTCCAGCTCGATACTCGCTGCTGTGGAAACGACCAACCCCGTCGACTATCTCGGGACTTAGGTGCACGTGGTACCAGCCAGCCTCGTGCAGAGTCACGTTAATTTCGGCTTCCTGGCCGTCGTAGCTCTCTTCGCCATAGGCAATTCGCATGCCGTTTTTACCCTGCAACGACGAGCCACCAGACGCACACGGAGTAAAGAAAGATCGTAAATAGTATTTCTAACTTTAGAGCTACGTGCGCTCGTGCCTTTTGCCTGCTCGTGCCTCGTGCTGCACCTTTATACAGTTTTGCCGCGACACGGAGCATGATTTATCGAAAGCACTTAAAGCCTGACGAAATTCGTCTTTAAAGCGAATGGCCCGGCAGTGTCCAACTCGAGCGCCAAAAAGTCCCCGAGAGAACGAGGGAGAGAGGCCCGATTCGAGGGATCGGAACTCGCAATCCTACATGTCACGTATCGGCCCGAATAGAGCTCGTGCATCGTGACAATGATCTCGTTATGCAGACGTAAACGCCAAACGACAGCATGTGGCCAGCGGGCGCGCGAACAAGTGTGCATCGCATACCCACACGCACGTACGCACGAGCAGGAGAGACAGAGATGACGATAATAATAGTTGCCAAGGCATATAATAATATAAATGGCTTACGATAAGTATGACATCCGGCTCGGTCGTCGCACTGCCGCTGCTGTCCCCGCGCATCACGATCCAGCGCACCAAGAAAGTTAGATTGCTCCCGTAGCAGGACAGCCGGTTTCCGGAGTAGAGTTTGGGCGCGAGCCAGTACGGGTGACGGTACTCGACCTCGTAAGACGCGAACTTGGGCCAGCCGTCCTCGTCCTGCAGGCTCGGCACCATGGCTCGCGAGCCGTTCATGTCCGTCACCTGCCAGCCGAACGAGCTTTTTTGCTGCGCAACATAACATTTAAAATTATCACTGTGCTCGACACTTTTGATTTTAGCTTTGGGCCTCTTTTTGCTTAAATGCTTATTATTATTAATCGTTCATTTCGTCTACGTAATAGAGTGAGTGGAGAAAACTATTAGTATCCTCGATCGATTCGTAGCCGGAAGATATTGTTCGAGCGACTATTCATTATATCTTTTAGCGTTCAAAGGGAGTTGCCGTCGTCATCGAGTGTGCAGGGAGCCGCTGCGGCTCGATCATGGGACAAGTATGTATCGCATCGGCCGAGAGCAAACGTGGCGGTTTACGACAAGATAATTAGCCGGTGCGTAGATAAGAATCGCGATCTGTGATGCACTCGCGATCCAGTTAGCCGCTGTAATTCAAGTCTAGCATCCGTGCAATTCTCAATCCCTTAACCTGTTTGCGGCGCGTAGTACGAGCTGCTATATGTATAATAACTAGATCGACGTTTGGCTCCCTAGTCGATCCTTTAATCGCATCGATATGTGTGGCCGCGGTACTTTCAACACACGTGACACGAGCCAGATTATATAATTTCACGCTCTCTATGAGGAATAAGCACGATATTTTCTTTCGCTATATTTTTTCTTCGCGTGCGACGTAATCTGAGCACTGGTATCGTTTATGGCAAATTTCACGTCGGCTTAACACCTGTTTTTACAGGTTTACGAATGCGATCGCTCGTTTTTCTTGTCATTATATTTTACGATCGAAATATTCCCACATCAGCTTCGGACATCGGGTGCATCGCTATAATGGGACGACTAAAGATTCATATAACTACAAATAAAATAACATTACGCGTTGATACATTGAGGGCAGATCAAGCCGTAATCGTAAAGCAAATAGTAAATTTGCTCAGTGGATAAAATATGATTGATTTAGCTAATCATGTACTACCGTCGACGAGAATGAATGAAAGCACTGACCGTGAAATAAGTGACCTTAGCGGCTGTACAGTCGCTCGAGACGGCCGAGCAGACACAGGTCAAGCAACCCTCGTCGATTTGCCGAGCGAGCGCAAAGTATCCGGGCTTGCAGCGGTCGCAGTACTCGCCGTGGACGTGAGCCTTGCAGAGGCAGTCGCCCTCGCAGTCGTGAGTCGGCAGGATGCCGCGCGAGTCGCAGGGACAGGCCACGCAGTCCGGGAACTGTCTGTAGCCCGATGCGCATCGATCGCACTTGGGTCCCGCGAAGCCGGGCTTGCACTCGCACTGGCCGGCGATCTATAACGAGCAACAACGAGTTAGAGTCGACTTGTGCATTGCAGCCGCTAAATCCTCGTCGAATTTCACGGGCTGCTGCGACGGAGGCTCGCGATCGCGACTCTCGCGCGGCGACTCGGCCGATGACAAATTTGCCGATCGTTATTCGCCGCGGGGAAGTTAGCTGCGATCGCGAGCCTCGTTCTGCTTACCTTTCCTAAATGCTTGAGTGAGTCGTCGGCTGTACAAAAGCCGCTACTTCCACGCTCGTAGCATCCGCACGGGACGCAGGGTTCAGGGTCATCGGCTGAGATTCCACTGGGCCTGTAGTATCCGAGCTCGCATTTCTCACAATTTATTCCAGTCGTATGTTCCTGCGCAAATGCAAGCGTGACAGATAGTGTACATTTATATCAAGACTGTTTGGCAATTTTTTTTCGGCTTTAATTCGTTTGACTTTGGGCAAGATGTAAAAAAATGTGTAAATCGACGCGGGCTCGGCTTACCGTGCAATTGAGACATACGCCGCCTCCTTTGTACTTTCCGCGGCTGTCGAGAGACAGCCTCTTCTCGGCGACCTCGGCGTCGTAGCGGCATGAGCTGGCGTGTCCGTGGCAGTTGCACTTCTCGCAGTGGAAGCCCCGACCTGACGTGCCGGCCTTCCAAGGCACTTGATTGTACATCGGGCAGCACTTTTCGCACGTGTCGCCGCATGTGTGCCTTTCGCATTCGCACTCCTGACGCTGCCAAACCATCAAAAAGCCCAACGGCTATCATTAATCACCATATACAGTAATATCTTTTTCAATGTGTCTGTTTCGAATGGCACTTGGCTCGACATTATTCGACACCCTTTATTTGCAGCTTAGGCCTTTAAAAATGTTATGGATAAGCCGGCAGATAACGCGCTGGTTTACAGCCGATTCGTGACCGTGCTTGAAATCCGCACGAAATCGCATAAATTAAAAGCTATTAGTGAGAGTCAACATATTCTGCGAGTGAAACGTAGTTGTTAATTATTATCAATGTAATAAATAATAATGGCAACGAACAATTGAACTTCTGCTTTTGGATTTTGCAAATGAAAAAGAGCTCGAGGCCTCACGCGTTGCTGTGCTACCTCGTTTTGTACCTCGAAGAAAGGTCCGCAATACCTTACATCGATGGTAAATAAACTGAACCATTTCAACGATTGATATTAAAAAATAAAAAATAAAAATAAATTTCCTTTTTTTCTTAAAAACAGTGTATATGTTCGAAAATATTAACTTAAACATTACAAAGATAAAGCGATTGAGATATGCCATCCATTGTTATGTAACAAAGCTTTTTCTCGCTTGAGAGCAATGCAGGGACTCTTATCAATCCGTTTGCATTTTTTATGGCTGCTTCTTTCATGCAGTTTTTTGCCTATAAATGTATATGTTTAACGGTACCAGCGATGACTAATAGTCCTAAGCAAAAACTTCCTCGGCGTTGCGGGAGTTTCAGATGGCGCTGTACGTTCGATATCGGTATATTATGTTCATTAATCCTATATGTTTTGCTCTTTCAGTAACATTTCTAATACTTTTTTACTTCTGAGATTACAACATTGAATATTAACACCGTGTTTGAGATACTTATACAGTTTACGGTTAATAAAGAGTGAGTATAAAGTTTTATTAACCCACTAATGCCCAAAAGACAGAATTTTTATATTCAACTTTCCGCTCTTACGATGCCTCAATGGAAAGAAAAAAAATTATGAAAACCATTACATTTTAAGTTTTCGAAGGTGTTCTTTCAAATTTTTGTATTTAAAATTTCCTAAATTAACTCGAATCACTAAATGGATTTTCATGATCCACTTTTTTTTATATCATAAATGATTGAATTTAAAGGAAAAGTTTATTGAACAAAATAGTCTTAGAATCGAACGTGGAACATCTTCAATTTTTTAAAAAATTTGATAATGTTCCTTGATCAATTCTGAAACATCTAAAACAACTTTTCTTTGACAAACTGTAGAGTTTTGATTGCTTCTACCGAAAATGAAAACCGAAAACAAATATTTGCAAAAATTCAAAATTTATCCTCGCTTACTTTAATATTTCGACCCGATAATTGCATAAAGTCTAAGAAAAAGCTCAAAATTTTATACGGGATCAAAGTCGTGATATATCCGGGTACGTCTCATAGTGCTCGACGTAATTATATAAAAGCTTCGCTTCGTTTGACACTCCCCGAATAGTCCAGAGCCCAGTTTTGCAATCAATGGAAAAAATTTTTTTCAATCAATTTTTACTCGTACACTCATGTAAAGTCATCCGCTGAACTTGAATTTTCATGTTGCCAGGACAAAAATGAACTCTAAATAACTGTTAAGCAAATTTATTAAAACAATCTGTTAAAATTAATTTTTTTCAATCGAAACAATGGGTCCAAAGCATGCGAGGATACAATTAAAACATCCTTTTGAAAAGTTTTGTCGAGTTTCATCAAGTGATTTAACATTGAAGTATGTAAAAATCGCCGAGGAAAAATTTCCCCATTGTTAACGAAACAGGGGACTTTTTTGCAGTATGTCAGGTGGATCGAACTCAATCAGGGTTATAAGAGAGATGTATGTTTACGTAACAGAAATCTGTTCGTTCATCTTCTCGAAACGAATGGATGCTTGCGTGCCGTGTCGACCCAACTGTTAAAGCATGGGCGGACTCGGCAGGATAATAGTTCATTGGCCATTCCTGGAGGCAATACTGCGCACGCGGGAAAATAAATCTGCTCGAAAGAGCCCAGCTGTGTATACTATATCCGAGACACGCATGTATAATAGCAATCGATGTATAATAGCAAGAATGCCACCATATAGACAATGCTCATTTCTAATGAAATGCGCGCACACGCATTCATTGTGTTCCTTGTTTATTCGCATGGTCTATACGTGAATGAACTGCCTAACTGTAATATTAATTATTGCCCAAGCTTCGAGACAGATAAAAAAATATTTCTTGAAAATATTTTAGATTTTCTGACTAATCGGGGATAAGCAGTGCGTTCCGATAAGTAACCCCTAAAAACGATTCGAATACCTTGCGTTGCTCGTTTGATTTGCATCGGGATGCATGGCCGGAGCAAAGACATCTTCCACCGATGTTGATTTCTCGAATCGAATAGAAAGCTCGTCTTTTGTCGACGATCGTTTCTCCTCGTCTGCGAAGGCTCTGCAAACGCAGCCTCACATAACGAGCTCGAGTGAATTCCTCGATGGCATCGCTATGATTCAAGGCCCCGGGTCGGCCATTCAACAGTTGCGTGTGGATCTGAAAAAAGCAATCGTTTTATTAACAATTTTCTAGAACTGTAATTTTTTTTTATTTATTTAATCACAAAATCGTACTTTGAGTGTATGCTAAAAAAATCTTAAAAGGAGTACTTAAACCCATCAAAAGTAAATTGCTGGATCAACAAAAGATATTTTTCTGCTATATTTAACAAATGATTTTGCTTTCTCAGCAAAATATCATTTGCGGATTCAACTGTCCACTGTTATTGAACCCATACAAAATTTTTTTTCAGTGTATGGTTAAAGAGGAGAAAAATATTTTATTTAAAAAGTTTCATTTTAAAAAGACAGAAAGATAAACTTTTTTCAATGGGTTTTTAGTATTGCTTCTTTTTTCTTTTTTAAAACGTATGATTTTTATGACATTAAAATTATTTTAATTCAACAAAATTGGCTTGTTTTATTTTTTTTAAATCGAATTTCAGTTTAAATTCAAGGAGACGCCCTAAAATGTGTATAGGACTTTTTTTGACATCAATTAAATCACTTTACAGCACCAGAGCATACAAGTAGAAAAAAGTTGCGAAGATACGAAAGTTGCCCATGAACACTTTAAAAAATTTGGAATTTATTTTTTTATTAACAACGAGAAGTCTTTGCAACCGCCAAACACGATATTATACGTTACCTCTCCATTTTCCATCGGTGTTTGACGCGAATAAAAACTCGTGCAAATAACATCATTATCTTGTTTATAAGTCGGCTTTCCTAGTGCGGGTGGCAGCGAATACCGACTCCAACATTCTTCATCGTTCGGAGCGTAATATTGCCAAGCTTGATAATTATACCCGTCGTTCGATTTCTCCAATATCCATGCAGTGGGTCTCGGAGAATTAGCAGCTTTCACAATTACATATTCTATTTGATAATGCTGAAACATAATATCAATTAAAAAAATCATTGTATATTATTCAACATAGGAACATTGTGTTTTTAAAATTAAATAGTTTGATGTTGTTTTTTTTGGCCTAACCAGATAAAAAGCGCATCTTTCGATTCCAGATCCGTTCAAATTCTGCAAGGAAAATTACGCGCCAACCACGAATAGTTTTTTTGTCTCCAGCGTAATTGCGCAATTGCCGTTAAGGTGACTCTTTACCTAAACTTTTTTTCATACAGGGTCTTGAAATTTGGGGAGAACATTAACGAGTAATTCAACAATTTCCCTGCAAAATTTCAGACCCTGTTGTCATGCTAATTTTCAAGAATAAAGTCATCGAAAATTGACTTTTTAGCACGGCGTGTATGGACGCACATCTACTTTTGGACGCTTCTTATTGAATAACTCTCAAAATATATCGTACAGCTCTTCAAAAAACTGATAATATAAAGTTGAAAGTATAAGCTTTCGATTAGTATATTAAAAAGTACATGTTGACATACTAATTATTGTAATATTTGCCCGAGAAAATGAATTTTTATGGTCCGATTAAGGTTTTGTCAAGTTCCCTCTGGCAAGTATGGCAGAAAGAGCAGTGGCGTACGCTTCCTCATATAAATCGCAATTGAGTTTTCCGCATCCCGCGAAAACTATTTTTCACTCTCATTTTGACAATAGATATCCTCATTCTGATAAGTGATATAGATTCCTCGGTAAAAATTGGACCCAACGATACACATGATGTCCACGAAAATGTGGACGTTTTTTGCAAGATTATCTCTCCGGGTGGAACGATCGGTGCACTAGGTGTAAATTCCTATTCGGCGATAACTTTCTCCGAGGAAGTCGCAATTGATCAATAAGCTAAGTAACCTTTAGTTACTTTAATATTTTGGTATTAGTATACCAAAATATTCGACTGCTGTCGGCGACATGCAAAATTGTATCCGACATCTTGAATTTTTTGGATTTTTAAAGTTGTAAATTTACATTATGCCTACGAGTGTGTTTATTTTCCAGGAAACGCATTAATATAATAAAAATTGCTATAAAACTTGGCTCAGAGTATAAAATGACGATGCAAATTTGAAATGGTTTTGTGGCGAAATTTGGGTAAAATTGTCTAATCCGCAGGATTGAGGTAGAAAAAGATGGTGAGAGAAGAGGAGCTGTGGGTACTTCCGGTGCATATAGGTCGGGCGTGCTTTTTAAAAGGTCACGGATTGCGAATCTCCGGCGAGATGGTATGCATGAGAACGGAGTGCGATGCGATTTGCGCGCAAGGCAAAAAGAGCACGATTTGCCGTACGGCAGGCTGTTTCCTCTGCCACTCTGTCAGACTATAAGCCCACAGTAGACGGAGAGGAAGTCTCGCCGAATAGCGACTCTGCTGCCGATGACTCATCTCGCACTGCACCCGCCAAGCTCTATAGACTCTTTACGGAGCTCTTATAGCTTATTTCTCTCGTCTATGACATAGCTACACGAGCGCACTTATATACATCTGTCGCTCGGCAGATCGCTCGTCGCAGCGGCGTAAGCGCACATACACCCGCGGTGGCACGTGAAAATTATAACTCATTTTGCCGCTTGGAATACTTTACGATCGATCGCTTGTGCGTGCGTGCGCGAGAAAGAAGCTTCTATCTTACTGGGCCATTCGACAACTACACGCGCGGCTTTCCAGTAGATTTATTTTTTGTTTGCAATTCCTTTACGAACTTTGTAAGGGGCATGGTCGAGTCGCGTCTCGTCTGGCATAAGTCGACCAACAAGCGCGCCAAGTTTTTTAAGGTGGATGACATGTAGGCGGAAGGCCGCGCTCGATGCCAAATTCGAGTGTATCGCGTAGTGATCGCACGCACAATTCAAGTATAAAAGCACACAAACACACATATCGCAGTTGCTCCGGCTAACATGCATCACTTTGCCTTTCAAACAGCCAGTGCATAAGCGCACGGTAAGTACAGGCTGTCTCTCGTGTCTCCGACTGGCTTGCTCTCTCGAGCAAATGGTAAATATCCTATTATGCGCGACAGGCGTGCAGTGGCTCTTATTTCTCTTTCTTGCTCGTTACGTATCGTTATGTATGTGTGTACTGTAGGTACAAATGCGACGAGCCGAGTCGAGGAAAGAATCGGCTTCATTACCGGTAAAAGTCGCGCGAGTAAATCACACACCAACGGCGCAAGAAAAGGAGCCGAGGAGGACGCGCGATCTCCACGGATCGCGGCGGCGTGTAATATTCCAAAGCAGATCACTCGCCGTACCTGCACAGCTCGCGCGTTAGTCAACGCGGATTATTTGGGTTAAACCAAAGTGACTGCGCGGCCACTGTATCCGCTATGAAAATCATATACCCCAGGCAGTGCATGTGAAACACCCGAGAAGGAAGCCCCGTGTGGCGATATACTTTTATTTTGCGTACGTGTTGCTCTTTTTCTCCCCCTATACTTGAGATCCGAGGCGGGATTAGACGACGCGACCTGCATTATACTTTCTTCTTCGACAACTTAGCCACGGTGGTGGCCGTAGTCTACTCGCGCAGCAACAGTCACTATACAGGGCTGCGCTATTTCTAACGATGACGATTAATCGTTCAATCACCCATTCATTCGCATAGACTGCTGTGCCGCTTCACTGACGTGCTTCCGAAAATAAAAATCCTTACTCACACCCTATGCCGATACTAGTGAAATATTTAATATGCTATTCATTTCTTTTTTATTATCTTTGACATGCCAAATGTTTACAATTGTTTTCAAGTTCATTGACGCGTACAATTAGCAGTTTCCTCGCAAGCTATTTTTAATTTCCTCTTATTTCAGCTTACTCAAACTACCTAAAAGTAAAGAAAGTATCTATTTTTAATAATTTGCTTTTGAGTCATACTTTCGAGTTGAAAGAAAAGATTTTTTTTATTCTTATAAATAAATAGATTGCTCATGAATAAGAAATTATGGAGTGGAAAACCATTATCGGCTAAGCGAAGAACGATGATTTTTGAACATCTATCGCTAGTAATAAAAATTTATTCGAAAACATAAGCTTTGAGCGTCCGAGTTATTTTGGTATTTTTTTAATCGAATGAAACTTTTGGTAACTAACATTTAAACAAAATGAAAAAAAAGAAGTGAAAAATTGTAGGTCTGAAGAAGATCAAGAAAACGTTTTATTGCGAATGTACATTGGTTTTTAAAATGAAAATAACATAAGTATAATTCGAAGAGAAAAAACTGCTCTCAATAAGAAAAAAATATTAGTGTGAAAAATATTATAATAAAATGAAATACAAATACTTTCAAGCATGTAGTTATCACGTTTAAAAATCAAGCTCAAACGAGTTAATTTTTATGTAGCTGATAGTGCACAAGATTTAATGTATGAATAAATAAATGAAAAGGTTATATCGAAGCAAATATATAGAGTTGGTCGTGGATGAGCCAAGCAGAAGCGTGGGAATTAAATTACGAGTTCAATTCATCAGAGCAGAAGTTCCAGTGACTTTTACAGTAATAAAAAAAAGTTGCCGAGCCTCTTGAGAATTCAATGCAGTAGAAGGAGACGAGAAAAGCAGTTTTTTATAATCGATTTCAGTAGACTCTATAAAGCAACAAAGTTGCGGTGTTCTTATCCTGAATCGGTGATCGAACTCACTTTGATGCAGATCATGCCAAGAATTTTCCATTAACATAAGCAACGAGCGATCAATGTCCAGATTTTGACTAAATACATCGATATTTTGTGCAACTTGATCGAAGGAAAAAAGTAAATGCATTGTTACGATTAGCAATTTTTAAAGATATAAATTTAAGTTGATTAATTTACAAAGTATGTTATTTCTAAGTTGAAGCAAAGTTTTTCTTGTCACAGGCCTAGTTTCATCGTAAAGCTATGAATCAGAATTATAGTATGTTATTATATATATGCTTTTTAGAGGGTGAGCACAAGTCCAACGCGAGATGAGTTGTCATTCGAGTTTTTGCGGATACGCGGGCGAGCTGCATTGTGTACAAAGGACTCGTCATTGAGTCCTACACTTGGATCTTTAAGTAATGCATTCATCGTGGCCTTCTTCTGCTAGCTCACTCGCAATGCATGTGCGTGCGTCTGCTACGCCGTCGAGTATCTGATTGTCACTGCTGGTTTTTTTTAATAAAATCCTTTTCATACTAAAAAGACTTTACTCGTACATGTCTACATAATGTGTTGCTATAAACGAACGCTGCATAACATATCATTACTATTAAATCTTTTTTACTTATCGTCACCTCAGCGCCTATAGCTCATTTTTTATCTTAATTATAACTAGAAAATGCTAATTGAGCGATTATTCGAAACAATTTACAATATAACTTATTAGTTTAGTATATTTTAAGCGATATGCCTTGATTAACCGTGTTGTTTTATTTTATCTACGCAAGTGCTACTAGCCAAATGTTACAATGAAATGATCTTATAAGAATGCGAAGCAAAAAAAAATTTGCTCAGTAACATATGACAATAAATTGAAATGCATTAAGCTCCTAATAAATGGATTCTCGAAAGTTAATTATTTTTTGTTCAACGAGCCATGCAAGCTCATTTACTAGCTTTTTTTTTGTTTTGTTGCTTTCTGCGTAAACAATAAAAAAAAACCTTTCTGGAATTGGTAAATGAGCTAAGTATTATCTTACTCGCACCCACAACGTGAAACATTCAATCATGACGACAGGTTAAGTTACTCGCGTGTTTTTTTCCTACTGCTGGGCCAGTTCGTCATTATATAAGCGATTGCCAATGGCTATGTTGGAAAAAAATTCAATGCAATGCAATTTGTTGTGTACTACTGGCTCAAGCTCCGCAGTTTTTACCGGTGTAACATGAGGTCGAAAATGGACTTGTAGTTTAAAAAGAAAAAAAAATTAAAGTACTGACGAGTTCAAGCGAATTCGTTTGTCATTTATTCAGTTCTTTTCAAAGTTTCTAAAAATGTCTATTTTTATTGATTTTATATCAAAATAATAGAACATTTGAATATGAATACGTAAAAATAATTTTGATACGAGTTTCAAGTAATATAGCAGATGTAATTAAAGTTAATTTCTTGGTCGATGTAAGGATTTTTATCTTGTAACAAAATGTGTTTCGGCGAAAACAGTGTCCGTTAGAGTACGCTTGAAAGTGGGAAAATGCGAGTTGTTAAATATATATACATGTGTATTGTGTATATATTTGTAGTCGATGGCTGGATGAGGCGGCAAAAGAGAAAGAGAGACGGAAATCCGAGGCGCGTTTTTTCAGCACGCAGGTAATCCGAGGCGCCGGAGAGCACATGCATGCACCCGTATATATATATATATATATATTAGGCGGATTTTTTCAGACTGCCGCAACTCGTACGTCGCATGTATATATATGCGTAGACGTACGTGTGAGAGTGCGCCAGTGCGCGAGTATATATTTTTAGAGGTTCCCTGTTTAACGCCGCGTCACACACGCACGCGACAATTTTCAGTCGAGGGAGACTTCTAAATGCGTATACGTGCATGAGAGGCGGAGAAATTGCTGCTGCTTCTGAGCTACTGCTACTGCTTAGCTTCGAGACACGGCCGACAAACCTTGCCGTCAGCCACTACCACCACCAAGTGCATTGTTTTGCCGGCGTAAACACCGTCACTCGAGACTTTTCAAATCGTTTTATATTTGCAATCAAAGTTTCAAACCTTGAACTTCTTGCACTTTCATTTTCAAACCAATTTAAATCTTTTTATTCATTCTCAAATAAATCACCAACTTAATCCCTCTATTTGACTGTTCGAAAATAATCTTATAACATCGATAAATCAATTTTATCATTCATCTTAATAATTTTAATTGAATTTGATCATTGAACGATTTTTCAAGTTCAATATTGTATTTAAAATTGACTAATTTTAGGTTCAAAGTTCAAAAACTAAAAATCTGAAAGTATATGAGATAAGTGTATTTTGCTTACTTGCTTAAGATCGAGAATGATGGTTACGTATTCATTATGATCTCCGCGTGCCAATGTCGGACTCTGCCACCAGTGTCCTGGATTCGAATCGAGAGCCAAATTGATTCTGTGTCGCTTGTTCGGATCGGGGCTTCTGGAATCGCAGACGGCGCAGCGCAGCGAATCTGAAGGTTTGCAGAACTGTTCCGGTCCATCCTCACCACATGTCGCGTTCACCTGGATGTCTGCTCTCGTTGCTACGTTGAACACTGGCGGAAAAAGACCGCCATTCTTCAGGCTTTTGCTCAAGCCATTTGGACCTGAGCAAAACAATTGATATAGATACACTATTTTTTATCGTGTTTTTTTCTCATCGGTTTTAAGGATTTATTTTTTATTATAATTATCAGAGATCGTTTTGAAAATGATTAATAGTGATAATATGGTGATACATACAGTGTACATAGTACATACAGAGATTATGAATAGAAATTAATTTTTCCACGATTAACGTTATCGTATCGATCTGCAATACGGACACCTATCGAGAAGTAATAAATGGTCGTCGCGGTATCTCGAAGTAAATTAATAACTTTAGCTGCAGGCGATAGCTGAGTATTGAATCTTTAGCATTGAAAATTCCAAAAATTTAATTCGTTATTGCTAACTGGAAATGAAATTGAAAAACGAACAGGGCGTGTTGAAAATGAGTATGAATACTTGGAAATGGAAAAATTACGACGAAAATCGTGTATACTGACTGTTACTGTGTCCGATGAGCTATTAATATGATCAGTAGAAACTACTACTCTTAAATGAAAAAACGGTTTTATTTTCACTTATATCTCATTAGTTTATGCTAAGAATTTCAACTAATCATCTCGTTTAATTTAGTCAGCTACCTGATTATACTTGGTGATAACAAGGGCAACTTTTTCATGTTAAGCAAAAAGTTACGATAATCTGACAAATAATTTTTACAGGTTAGGACTTTCAAATTTTACTAAGTGAATTTGTCGCGATATGATTTTGGATTCTTTGGATTAGCTGATGCACATACGTACATATCTGATTATGATCTTTGGTCCCGATGCGATACAATTTATCAATATATAAAGGTGCTATTCAGTCCTTTGAAAAATTCATAATGAAAAGCTTACAAGCAGAAATCGGTAAAGTATTTGCCTTTATCCTTAGAGTAGCATAAGCCGAAGTAGGTATTCCTCGAAGCAGAATTGAATATTGCCACGGAGTAATATACGTAGTAAAAAGGTGCCTCGCGACTGTGCGTGTGCATATATAATGCGCACACGTGTTTTCTGCACTCAAGTTGTGTGTGCATAAATGTGCTGCTTAATGCCCTACAGTGTTTGCGGTCGCGCGCAGTCCGTTGTTGTTCGACTTTCTGTATATGGTCGTTTCTCTGTGAAATCAAATGGTCAAAAAATTTGGTGAGCATCACCGTTCGTACGAAAGAACTTATATAATCGATCGCTCGAACGGGAACGATCATTCTTTGAAAATTTACTCTTCATAAACTTAGATTTGATAATTCATCAATTAAATATAGGCTGAACAGAGACGATTCGGCATTGTAACATGTACACTCCCAGGAACACATCAAAAGAGAAATAGAAGAAACAAAAGAAAAATTAAGTACCGGTGTGATAATCGTTGCTATTTTGATTCGAAATTTTTTTAACACTCCATTCGTCATAAAAACCTTGTTTCTTGAGCAAAATATTAAAATATTGTATGCAACTAGTGCACGAGAAAGATGACTCATCGAAAAGTCTTTGCAAATGGCTTATGGGTAAGTCACCTACTACGTGCACTTGTAGCATAATATACTATTTGGACGTTCGATTTCACAAAGAATCGGCCATATATATACCTATCTCTGTTTATGCGATGCCTCATGTCATATACCGCGAATGTGTGCGGTTGATTGATGACTGCACACACGGGTACCTTGCGTGTACTTGCGGCACATGAAACTTGCTACAAGTCGCGCAAACATTTTTCTCATTATTGAAAAAATCTTTTTACCTTCTAGCTGCAAGTTAAACAATTAAAATTTAAATAATCTTCAGCATTTACCCATAATAATTAAATAAATGTGATGATCAGAATGATTTTTGTCAACTGTGTGGCATCATAGTATAGGTATGCTTGAAGCGCTTCATATTAAGCTTTTGAGAAAATTTGCTGATCGTGGACAAATCGTTTTACGCAGAGGAGCTCGAATGTGCAGTGTTTACTCAGCTGGGCCGACTTTTGTCACTCTCAGTTTTTTTTTCTATCCGGAAGATGACTAAAAAAATATCATATTTTATCTATTCATGCTTATTCACCCGGGCCATACGATCGTGTTTATATACATTTTCGAACTTTCTTGGTACCAAGCAAAATTGCGTTTTTTTAATTTACTTTGCTTAGCTGCTTGACAACGTTTTAATGAATACAAATTTGATAAGCGGCAATTTTATTCCATCGATCGATAGTTCTCAAAAATGAGTAGAAAGTGGCGGTAAAAGCAAGCAATTCAATTTTTTCAAAACGAGTGATTTAAACGCTTTGAGTAGATGTAGAGTAGTAGAGAAATTAATTAATTAATTTATAAAAGCATCCAAAAATGGAATTAAGTTCTTTTGTGTCCCAAGGAAGAATTTTGAAAACTTCCTCGCACTGTCAAGAAAGTTTTTTCAAAATAATTACGAGTTTAAGAGATGCAAAATGTTTGAATGTGTCGAAGAACATCGAAAAATGTCAAAAATATCACGTCGTAAAGGAAATAGCATGTTTTTTTGTTGATAAAGTGGCGCTGCAGAATGATTCAGTTTTTAGTCTATCGGCTGTATATTTCAGGTTCCGATTAAGTTCTCCAAAAGAGGTGTGAGTGAGTCGCAAAACAATATTAAAAAGGCCGGTGAAAACACGAGAAGTGTTTCGTAAAGTGGCTAGCTTTTAATAAGCAAAAAAGCATGAATTGTCAGGTAAAAAAGAGTTATCGGAGCTCAGGATTTGCGAGAGAGTCGGCCATATATGTACTTGCGCGAAGAGTCGCGGGAATCACGAGCACGATTCGCAACTTGGCGCAGCCTCGCAGTAGAAAAAACGTGGATTAAAATCCTCTCCTTGAAGGATGCTGCTGCTGCAGTTTGCCCTTCTAAGGAAGCGATGTCGTATTTGTTTCCACCCACCGCCGAGGAGGAACGGACCTCTATGCATAATGCCGAGCCGCAGCGTGCGCTTGTTAACTCGGCGCAGGCTGCTTTTGCGCACGCAGCGCATAAAAAGAAAGCAGCTACAAGACTGATGATGAAGGTAGCTATAAATTAAACTCGAGAGCCGTATCACATATGGCTTGCTCTCGACCGCCGCCACGATCGAGTGTATGTAAGCACTCCCCGTATATATAGAAGCGCCTTGTAGCATATATCCATTTAAATAAAGTACTCAATGGCAGAACAGCTCATCTGCTTCTGCAGCCAGACTATAACTTTCGACATTTTTCTCAAGTCGCGAGAAACGTTTTGAGATTAGGATTTGGATATGCTGCACGCTTGACATCACTCAGCTTTGTAATTATTAGCCTCAAGTGGTAGACGATCATGTCTCGTGAGACAGTTTCTCGCGCATATAGCAATGGCGAAGCAGCGACCGAAATGATATAAGCTATATTTAACCCCAAGCCAGAAGTCCAAGAGAACATCAGCTCACCGAGAGTCAAAACAATCGCTCATCACCTCCGTCGAGAGTTCTTAGTTTACTGTATAGCTTGATCCAACTGGAAATTTCGAATTTTCCATTTTTGACGACGAAACGAAACTTTTCTTAATGTAAACATACGCATCCGAAGTTGTATAAATAGATTGCTGTTACATTGCGGCAGAACGTTAATGCAGTGTCTTTCTGCTCTCTGATTGCCTGAAATCGGAGATGTGCGTATTTTCAGTATCTGTTTAAATGAAAATTAGTCCTGTATTTGTAAGGGACCCAGATTTATTTCTTTGAATAGGAGATTTTTTGTCTTTGTTCGTATTATTATGTCTCTATAAAATAAAAAAGACGCTCTGATGATAAAGAATTGATATTGAACCAATGATGTAACGATTAAAAGTCAAAAGCGTGATTCAATCATAAGTTGCGCGGCAAACTATTGTTTCTTTGGGCTATTAATATGTAGACGCTACGAGGCTAAGAGTACCACGTTTACGTTATAAAGAGACCTCAAAAAGTATCGGTGTAAGGTATTCACGATAAAAAAAGATACCTGAATTTTCTGCACGCAAATCTATTGTTCTCGAAGAAAATTAAAATGCTTATAGCAAAATTTAAAGTTTGTTAATTGGGATGGAGCTTTGGCAAAGCGTTTACAATGAGCCTCTCAGCTCTTCAAACTAGATATCAACTTGAGATAGAGCAGACGTTTGAACACACAAAAAGTACTGTGAATCTATATGCGCCTATGAGAAAGATGAGAGCATTGAGCTATCACAATTTGACAATGCTTTATCGCAACGGTCTCACGGCCACTACTATACATGTAAAACATCGCGATCGACGAGGCGCTGTAGTGTATGCATTGCTCGTAGTAGCTTTTCACGGTCTCCTACTGACCTGAAAAGGCTCAAATATACCTCCTGTAAGTTATGTAATTTGCCCTGTTGATTGTTAGCTCGATAAGCTTTTGTAAAGCTAAAAAAAATTCTTTTTTTTTGAAAGTACGATTTTGGTCTCTAGAGTAAAATTAATTTTCAACTGCACCATACATGGAGGACTTATCTCGAAATAATTTAATTAAAAAAGTGCTTGATGAAGATTTTCAAAGTTGTCTGACTTGAATAATCCGAGCTACACGCAAATTTGTCTGATTCTAAAGGAAGGAATAATTACTCATGTTCGTCCATACTATGTGTCTTGAGAAATATGCTAGCAGCTCTTATTTATTCAAGCAATTTTCGCGACCTGTTGTGTAGCTCGAATAAAATATCCTTGATTAATTATTTTACTCAAATCATCTGTAAAAAATATTGTTTTAAAATCGTAAGGTTCGAAAATAATTCGGTTAAATTTTTTCGTACTGATCATGAAAATGATATTTGTTATAGTCTATATAACTTATAGATGAAAAAAGAAGCAAATTTTTTCAAAAATATTTTAATTTCAAGTAATTGTTTCACATGTTCATAATAAAACGTAAAGCATATCAAATGCCAAAAGTGTAAGTGATTAACAAGCTATGTAGGGGGGTAGCAATAAAGAAGTCACGCGAAGGTTCCGCGCCAAAGTGCTCGTGCAACAGTCGCCATGATAA